TTCTCGTAAATTTAAGACTTTGTTCTCGTAATGTTACAACTTTGTTCTCATAATTTTAAGACTTTGTTCTCGTAATGTTACAACTTTGTTTTCGTAATTTTAAGACTTTGTTCACGTAATGTTACAACTTTGTTCTCGTAATGTTACGACTTTGTTCTCGTAATGTTACAGCTTTATCCTTGTAATGTTACAACTTTATTCTCGTAGTATTACGACTTTATTCTCGTAATTTTATGACTTTATGCTTGTAATTTTAAGACTTTGTTCTCGTAATGTTACAACTTTGTTCTCGTAATTTTAAGATTTTGTTCTCGTAATGTTACAACTTTGTTCTCGTAATTTTAAGACTTTGTTCTCGTAATGTTACGACTTTGTTCTCGTAATGTTACAGCTTTATCCTTGTAATGTTAGAACTTTATTCTCGTAGTATTACGACTTTATTCTCGTAATTTTACGACTTTATTCTCGTAAATTTAAGACTTTGTTCTCGTAATGTTACAACTTTGTTTTCGTAATTTTAAGACTTTGTTCTCGTAATGTTACAACTTTGTTCTCGTAATGTTACGACTTTGTTCTCGTAATGTTACAGCTTTATCCTTGTAATGTTAGAACTTTATTCTCGTAGTATTACGACTTTATTCTCGTAATTTTACGACTTTATTCTCGTAAATTTAAGACTTTGTTCGCGTAATGTTACAACTTTGTTTTCGTAATTTTAAGACTTTGTTCTCGTAATGTTACAACTTTGTTCTTCTAATGTTACGACTTTGTTCTCGTAATGTTACAGCTTTATCCTTGTAATGTTACAACTTTATTCTCGTAGTATTACGACTTTATTCTCGGAATTTTACGACTTTATTGTCGTATTTTACCACTTTGTCTTCGTAATATTACGACTTTATTCTCGTAATTTTACGACTTTATTCTCGTAATTTTAAGACTTTGTTCTCGTAATGTTACAACTTTGTTCTCGTAATTTTAAGACTTTGTTCTCGTAATGTTACAACTTTGTTCTCGTAATTTTAAGACTTTGTTCTCGTAATGTAACAGCTTTATCCTTGTAATGTTACAACTTTATTCTTGTAGTATTACGACTTTATTCTCGGAATTTTACGACTTTATTGTCGTATTTTACCACTTTGTTTTCGTAATATTACGACTTTGTTCTCGTAATGTTAGGACTTTATTCTTGAAATGGAAGAACAAAAAATCTCTATCCTGGCCCTAATACTCCGTCGTAATCCAGTGGCTGGAAGTTGGAAGGGATTTTGCTGGGAGTTGCAGGGAAGTTGGCTGCCATTCGGCTGGCGTTAGACTGGAAAGGGCCATTTTGATATGTTGATACTGTATGTAAGTGTGCACACAGGTATGCAGAGGTTTAATGGAAAGGATCTAGAAATAGAAAGGAGAACAGACCCCTGAGGAACCCCAAATCTATTTTAAGCAGCTTTAGTTCTAAACCTGAAAATCAGAATGCTATAGCTACCTGCATCAAACATTGTTCTTAGAAGGATAGACCTTTCTGATATATAACTGTTAGAGACCTTCGGTTATGCGGCAGTCAGGAAACATGTTGGATATGGAACTGTAGGAACATTTTACTTTAAAACTTAGATTTAAAAAATATTTCATTCATAAAGATTAGAAACATGTCGAGGTGTTTTCATAAAAGTCTGGGGATTGAATATTTCAGACATAAATTTTAACTCCTTGAAATTAGAAGTTATTAGATGTTTAATTTTTGCAGAAGTGTCAGCCTGTCCAGTCAGATATTTATCATCCCTCATAAAGCCTCTCTGTGTCAGACTTCTTTCACTGCTGTCTGACAGTCTTACACAACTTTTAGCACCAAGGCCAGAAAGCTTCCAGCTCCGGGAAGCAGCTCAGGAATTACTGACAGCCTATGATGAGTTGGCAGGAGGAGAGTTTTCCTCCTCTCTTGGATGCGTTCCCTGAGCAGCAGCTGCTTCTGGCTGCTGGGCTGCAGATTATTTGATTTTATCCTGCAGCGGGAGCTGACTGGATCATCGGCTTGACTTTAAAATCCCTCCATGGTTTGAAGCTGAGGCTGCACTTGAACTTCATCCTATTGTTGTTGCACGAAAAACACAACAGTTAATTTGTCAACAAATGACCGTTGCCTGGTTACCAGACAACACAAAGAGATATTTGAGATACAGAAACCTGTTAATTAATGCTGTAAACTCTTCTCTGGGATTTATCAATTAAAATCAGTTTAATAATGGCTGCATCCACAGAAATATTTCACCAGAATTTTAAGATTTATGTAAATTTATTACATAACTAATTTCCATGTATTTATTTATTTTGATAACTGTAAAATAAACCTTAAACGATGCATTTTCATTAATTGGATTTTACTCATTTACTTTAAATACCTAATTGTTAGACTTATTTATTTAAAATAGTTTTATTACTCAAACTGTATTCTAATTAATGTGTATTTCCAATACATAAAGGTTATTTTATGAAGTGCATAATAATCAGAATCCCTATATGCAATTTAAACAGTAAAATTTATATATTTGAAAGAAATACACTCATTAGTGTTAATGTTAGTCATTATTCTTTAAAAAAAAAATACTAAATACATAAACCTGAGGATTAAGCATTTAAAATAAATAAGCTTTATTGTCAAATAAATATGGATAATCTATTGTTTATGTAATAGCTTTCTGTTACAATTACCTAAATAAATAAAATGGAATTTATTATGTAATAAATTTACATAAATCTTAAAATTTAAGTTCAATATTTCTGTGGATGTGCACAACTTTAGGAAAACATTTCATTCCTGGTTATTAGGTCTTGTTTGTGGTCTATTTTATTTCTTTACGAGTGAAAAAGCTAATTTTCTCAGGTCTCTACGTGAGTTTCAGCATCACAGCGACCGGAGGAAAACATAAAGATGGAAAATCCAACGGTTTTCTAAAGGTTATTGATCCACTGATGGCAGCTCTCCATCAATGAACTAAACAAATTAGAAATTCATTGAATTTGGAAAAGTTGAATGGTCCTCTGAACATGAAGACAAGGCAAACACGATATTCCAACTGGTTTGCGTTCCTTGAAGTTTGCATGGAACACTGACATCATTTAGTTGGTGAGGATATTCTGCTATCGACATGTTCAGGTGCAAATTAGCAAATTATGAGTTCAGCATTTAGTTTAGTAGATCAGTCCAATCTTCTTCTCAGCATGTTATGGCTGACAGAGGGTAACGACTGCAAGAGAAAACACTCACAGAGTTCCGTACTCCAGAATGTTCATAGAAACTTATGTGAAGGAAAAGAAGAATGTTGACATAAGATGCACAAGTAACAGAGTTAGGAAAAGATAAATTCATGACTTTGGGACGAGGTTGATCAAGGTGTTGATCTCAGCATCAGGGAATGATGTACATCTGGCTCAGATTTCAGCTTTCAAAAACCTACAATGCAGCGATAGAGTTGATTCTTTCCCGCTATCTTCGCAGCCCCAACCCCTTTACAGGAGAACAGATGACCTTTCCTAATCACCCAGGTCAACAATTCTCTCTAACAATGCGCAATTTCATCTGGTTTGGTCTGCCGCGGTTTCCGTAGCGTCGTGAACGCGCTTTTAGGAAATCCTATACACTACTGTTTATGCTCTAAAAACATTCTAAATGACTTCGTTTCGAGTAAATTATGGACGCTACCCACTCAGGACACTTGGAATACATTGGACGAGCAGTATGGAGGAATACTGACACGTTTTTTGTGGACTTTTATGGACCTTTCTGCCTCGGGCGCCATAGACCTCCATTATTTGAATGTCAGCAGACAGCAAGAAGCCTCCCAGATCTCCAGATGCATTTGAGATATCAAAAAAGTACTCCAGAGTGTTGTTCAGCATGGGGGTGAGTAGAAAATGAAGGCTAATCATGTTTTGGGTGTACTATTACTTTAAGAAAAACATATTAAACAATCAGTACTTGTAAATGTACATTTTTGGCAGAATGATTATTGATAAAAGTAAGTAATGACAATGGAAAATGTGTACACCCCAGAACTCAAAACTCAAAGAATTTTATCCAGTAAACCTTTTATCTAGGAAGCACAGATATTTAAATATATTCATCTATTTGTTAGCAAAGGCTGTAGGAAAGTATAGTTTGGCTTTATTTAGAAAATATGGATGTTGTGCTCATTAATTTTCCTGTTGGAACCGTGGAGATTGACCCAGAGGTTCTGTCGCCTACTTTCAGCCATTATCACAGATCCTTCCTCCCAGCAGCTGGAAGACTCTAGAACCACCACTGTTCCCAGCAATCTCAACCAGTTCTTGATTTTGCACAGTGTCTACCTTAGTCAGATAAATAACCTGCTGCTGTCATTCTGCACATCTCTCATGTTGCTGCTATTTTCAAATATCCATTACTGTAAAAATGTCCACTCCAACAGACCAATTAAACTACAAGCCAAAGATATTATCTTACACTATATTAATAACGATAGGAAAATGCAATTCATGGTTAACTTGAATTTTCTAATTGCAAAATTCCACATACACAAAACCAAATTTTCCAAAGGTCGACCTTTCTTCCCTGTGTTTGAAAATGATTTAAAAATTTACTTCAATTGTATCCAGAGAATCAACAATAAAAAATTTATTCACACTGTTAACGTAATTCGGGAAATATTTGGAGAAATGTAAAATATCTGGGCCCTTTTCTTTTCTTTTTTTTTTGTCTTTCTTTAAATCTCTTCTGTTATTTATTTAAGTTAAAGTATGTTATATCTTAACTGTATTTGCCCTCCATCATTGAACGCTTATTCTGGAGATACTTTTCTATTTATTGAGATATGTTATGTTAATATTTAGTAATTTGCATATTTTCAATAAAAAAAAAAATAATAAAAAAATAAATGAAAAAAAGATCCATCTGGTAGCTTCTCTGGCAGCTTTCTCTCTGTAATCTGTCTCCTCCGCTGCGGTAGGGGGCGCTGTCGCGTAAGCGTCACCACGTTCCTCTTCAACCAATGACGTGGATATTCATTGAGAGGCAGTCAAAGCTGCCAGATAGACACTTTAACAGAGATTTTTCTGCGTCTGTTTTCCAATATATGCCCCAAACCGACCATTTTCTGTCCCTTAGGCGGGATTATCGGATCTAGCTGCGTTGAAACAGGTGAGCGGGAAGTAAAAAGTGAACATTTACAGTGTTTCCTGTTGTCTGATTGTGTTCAGTGAAACAGTTGGACTGTTTGTCTTTGGATCAGACTGCAGGATGAGTAAAAGCAAAGTGTTAAACCTGAAGGATAAAATCAGCGGGAATGAGGCGGACCTCAGCCTGTGTAACCTCAGCGAAGTGCCCGCCAGAGAGCTGGTAACAACCCACCGCTTTTATACTCTTAGTAAAGTCGTTTAACATGCAGCAATCAGACAACATGACTGTCTTCATGACTGTAAATCTTGGTGTTTCCTCCTACAGGCGTCATTTCCTAAAGCAACAGTGGTGGACCTGTCTTGTAACAACATCATCTCCCTTCCTGTAAGTAGATGAATGTTTGAAAGTTTTCCTTATTTCCACAGATGCCTCAGTGTTTATATCACTGGGAAAATAAAGCAGGAAAATGGAGGCCTGCCTTAGTGGACATGACGTCACCTAAAGTTATTAAATCCAAATGTAGATGCATTAATGAAATGGAAAAATCTGTAGCTAGATTGGAAAATATTTATCCACAGATGTTCTGCATCAATATTACATACATTCAGGGGCCCTAAGAATGGAGAAGACATCAAACAGCCCCATTCTCCAGATAGAGAAATGTTAATAGAATAGACATCCATGATCTGTTCTAGGTTGTGTCCCTCTCTTCTTGTCCCTTTTCTTCTTGTTTTCCTCTCTATGTTTTGTACTCAGCTGACTTTTCATGCTGTCTCTAAAGGAATGAAAGATTTTTTCCAAGCACTAAGCTCACTTAGCTGATTGCTCCTTCCTGTGTTTCCAAAATGGCCAAAGTAAATAACCCAGTCCTTCTTTTCACTGTAGACAAGCCATGATCTGCTTATCTGTTCTCCATTTTTCATTTGGATGAAATAATAGCTGCATGAATCATGACAGCAGACAAGATAGAGGAGAGCAGGAGGCGGGGTTACCAATCTACTCGCTCTGGAGAGCAGAGTTCGCTGCTTTTAGATGTTGTCTCCAAAGTCTCCAGTAGCAGAAAAAAGTCTCTAGATTTGGCGCTAGGAGCTTTTTAGAAATCAAAGTGCTAGAGGGGTCTGAAAAGTGGCTAAATATAGCGACTAAAGCGCTAAGTTGGCAACACTGCTCTTTGCATGGTTTGTTTTCAAATGGTTTGCTGCTGTCTGTTTGGACCTTTCTGAACATGTGCAGCAAATGGACTGATCCAATATGGTGGACACTGAAGGGGGGGGCTGAGACACACTTAATATTATCAGCGTTCTGATGGCATTTTAGAGAAAGGATTTTCATCAAAAAATAATTAATGTGCACAAATAAGGAATAGTTGGATTAACCATGCATGTAAACAGTTTTATGGGGCCCCCAGGAACTTGGGGCCCTAAGGTATTGCCTAATGATGAATTCCCCCCCACCCCCGCATACCTTTACAGAAAAGGAAGTTGTTTATTTAACACGCTGCGCTACATTATTTCTGTCCTTTTCGTTCTTGCAGCCAGAGTTCTGCAGCCTCACCCATTTAGTGAAGCTCGACCTGAGTAAGAACCAGCTCACCTGTTTACCAGATGACCTTGGGAACCTGGTGAATCTTCAGCACCTGGACCTTTACAACAACAAGCTGACGGTCCTGCCTGTCAGCTTCTCGCAGCTCAGGGTGGGTTATCCTCTGGTTTCTCTCTGTGTTTATTGAGGTCTGAAGCAGCTGAGCTTTTCTCTGTTCTTGTCGTTTAGAACCTGAAGTGGCTCGATCTGAAGGATAATCCTCTGGAGCCCAGCTTGGCCAAAGCAGCTGGAGACTGTCTGGATGAGAAGCAGTGCAAGCAGTGTGCCTCTAAGGTGTGTTACGGCCGCGGCTTCAGGCGGAGCTGGAAAAGATTCCTCCTTTTTGTGAAACTATGTTACAAAAACTTTGGACCGAGCATGTGAGCGGAGCCTAACCTGACTCCGCCAGATGGATTTGCTCCACATATCCATCTGGAAACCTTCCGTTGAAGCATATGACGTACTATCAGAGCGACGACGAAAACACAAGCCAGGCTACTCTTGCCAAAACCAGTCGGGAGAAGAGTAAAAACATCTTTTCCTCTGAGAAAAGCCTCCAGAGCAGTGTTTTGCTCTTCTTTCAGTGAAGAAATACTCTGTAATTCCCATAAAACTTGCTCGATAGCCACGCTAACGCTAGTTTCATCGGCTGAAGCCGCCATGTTCTTTAGACTGAACTGTCGCGCTTCTCGTTGCGTCACACCTCAACCCGCCTCAAAGCCAACGCTGATTGGACGTTCGTTTGGTGAACGGCTCCAAATTTTCTTTAACGGAGAGTTTCCAGACTGATCTGTGAGTGAAACCTTGAAAGCTCGCGAGATCAGGATGGTCTCACGAGGCTGAAGCGGAGCCTGGAACACAGAGCGGTTTTAAATTCAAAGCCCAGAGCCAGGATTTCGCTCTGATAAGCTTTACGTCAATAAAAAATGTTGGATTATAAAATTTGTAAAATACCATTTATTTGATTTAATGTAGTCTAGTAAAATAATTGAATAATTAAATAGGAAACGGGGGGCAACATGAATGGAACGAGGTGTGTTACGTTCACAGCCAGTTAAATAAGGCAATCCACATGTATGACATCATTAAATCAGACGCCGTGTCCCAGGGTTTTGAGCAGAGCGTCCTGACGTAACTTTGAGCGCTGGAGTGAATGAGTGAACATCCTCCTGAGCGCAGCGCTGCGTTCACATGCTCTGCTCCAGGATGAGCCTGGGTGTTTGCTTCTAGAGCAGCGGGTCGGCAACCCAAACTGCTCAAAGAGCCATATTGGACCAAAAAAACAACACTGCAAAAACTATTTAGGAATAACTACAATTTTCTTAAATTAAGTGTATTCACCCTTAATTTGAGTAGGTAAATGAGATAGTTTGCCAATGGAATGAGTAATTTTACTCTTAAAATAAGATAATTAGATAATATGCACTTGAATTAAGATAATGCAATTATGTTTTCTTATTTTAAGTGTAAATTTTCTTGTTCCATTGGCTAAATGTCTTTTTTACCTCATCAATTCAAGAACAAATGCACTTATTTTAAGAAAAAAATGACTGATCTAGATTTAGATTTTTTGTAGTGAAAAAACGAATCTGTCTGGAGCTGCAAAAATGTAAAAGTCTTCTATCAGCCTGGTATGGCAGCACAGGCTCTAAATGATTTAGCCCACTGTAGAAAGGGACTACGTCAGCTTAAATATATTGTTAGCATTCATGACTAAATGTTTATTCTGGAGCAAATGTCACAGCAGGAGGTGAGGAAGGAGCAGTGAACGCTCTCACTGCGTGGAATTCACCGCAGTTCGCTGCAATTTTTAGGTTTTTGTTGCAATGATGATATAGAAACAGGATAAAGGAATCTTTCTATGGTGGACGTGTTTCTGTTGGGAGGAGCTGATTGAGGAACCAAGCAGGAAGTGACATCCATCAGAGCAGAGCTCTCTAACCCTGAAATCCCACATCCTCCATCACCAGCGTTCTTTGGTTTTATTTCATTTTTAGGATTTAGAGAGAAATGGAAGAAAGTTCCCATCCCTGCATCAAAGTGAAGCAACCTGTTGGATCTATGAACGGTTTTCTATGCTTGCAACCAAACTAGCAGCAATAGTTTGGAGATTCAATCCACTTCTTAGATCTATCTTTGCTCTCCTCTAATTTATCCAGAAGTTCTGCAATCAAACTTTGTCTCTCCTCCCAGCTTGGCGGTCGGCTGCATATTCAGCCTTCCCAGGAAACGCCTTTCCTAATGACTCTTTTTATTATTTGATAACTTCTCACTGCAAAGCAAACATGCAGCATCTATCTTCCTTTTTTCCCTTTGGGATCCACGGCCTGAGACACGCCCGCCGCTTTGTTTACAGCAGCCACCTGCCTGGCGCCGCGCTGAAACCTGCGGCAGGATCTGACCACTGATCTCTACGACTATGATGCTAATTTTCATTGAAAGAAATGTTTATTGTTTAAATTTATTTATTATACAAATGTTTACAGTAGCGATGGGTTGATTCTCCCTCGGTGCGCGTCTCGTTTGCAGAAAATCATCCAACCGATGCATGAGCTGTCTCTAACCGACTGACTCACTAAACTGGGTTTAAAAACATATCTATGAACATGATGCATCTGCTAAAAATATGTCTCCTCTTTTGCAGTTTATGATAAAAATAATCAAGAATTTTGGAGCCTAAAAGGAATAGGAACGTTTCAGCTATGGCTGCAACAACGAATCGATAAAATCGATAAAAATCGACTTTTAAAAACGTTGGCAACGAATTTCATCATCGATTAGTTGTGTCGCGCGATTAATGTGTCATCCGCCGCCGTCGTCATTGCCGTGGGGCGCTTCCCCTATCCCAACCCCGCTCCCGCAGGAGTCCCTCTCAGCGCTGCAGTCAGAGGATGTTTACCCTCAGCGTCCCTGCGCTTTGTAAGATGAAAAAAGTCTTAACATGCAACTTTTGTAAAGACAAATAAACATGGCGCGGAAGCACCACTGTTATGACGCAGCACCTGAAAAAGGAAACACGTTGGAGCCTTCAATGGCAGAGAAGAGAGCTGATCAGCAGGGTGAGCGGCCATGTTTGTTTGGGTTTAAAGGGGAAACGTTACGTTAGTTTCTCAGGTAGCTCATCTGATGCTTTCCTTACCGTGTTAGTAGGTTACAGACAGTGATAAGGTTGGCTACTTATTTTACTTTTAATTTCATTTAAATTAGCTTAAGCAGCGTTTATATTTTCTTTATAAATAAATTAACTTGCAAATTATGAGGGCAAGACTTTTAAAGTTTAAATCTTCTGGCAAAGATAAAGTAAAGAAGATCCTGCAATTTATGGAAGTAAAGCAGAATAAAATCCAGCAAGATCAGTAATATGTCAATTAATTATCTGCCACATTCCCATGTAAATATCTGTCTTTGGAGGATGTGTTTTTTAGCACCCCTAGTTCTCTCATTTTTATTCCAAATACAATTTATAATTTGAATCACAGGGCTAATTTTATCTCTATGGTTCAGTATTTTCTCAAGTAGCAACTTTAACTGCTATACTTTCCTGTCTTAAAAGGCAGAACTCTTCTAGTCTAAAAAAAACCTCATTTGTTGAAATGGGGGGGCCTATTGTTTGAACCCCTTAGGGGCTTTAAAAAACAAAAATGTCTTTTTTTGCGCTTTATGAAACAAAGTAGCCTATATTTTGTGGATGTACAGCTACATTTCTCATGTAAGTTTGCGTAGTTTTAGCACAAACATTTATTTTCACATTGCACCAGTACAGTTAATGAGCAACCTGTACTTGTGTGCTTGTTTGTTCTGTCTAAAATGTTTATTTTAGAATAAAGAGGTTAATATAAAAAATATTTTTTGTCCGATTCATCGATTAATCGAAAAAATAATCGGCCGATTCATCGATTTTTAAAATAATCGTTAGTTGCAGCCCTAGTTTCAGCCGTTGAGTTTTTATTTTGATTATCTGAATTAAAGTTAATTTCAAATTGACTCTTAGTTTATTTACTGTTTTTACTGCACTTATTGTTTTAAGAATATGATTTAAAATCCTATTTCACAAGCATCCTCATTCATATTTCCCTCTAAATGATCACGTTATATGTTTACATTATTTATTGGCCGTATCTAAAAATATCAAAGATATTTTCAATTTTAACGTAGATGTGAAATAATAAAATATAACCTTCAATAACTTCAATGATGTCATTGTTCTAGGTCATCAAATCAATTCAGTTTATTCGGCTGCCTGTAGTGTCTTTAAATGTCCAGCAGGTGTCAGTATTCTCTGAGACAGAATCAATACAGTTTGACTTAGACTTAGACTTCTTTATTTGTCATTTTGTATGCACAGGGTGCATACAGAACGAAATTGCGTTACATACAGCTTATGAACGTTGCATTGATATTTCAAATGGCACGAGTTATAGAAAAATACAAAAAGTGCAGCAGTGGTCAAAGTGTGAACAGTGCAGAGGATAAGAGACAGTGTGCAAGTTGCAGTGGTTCAGTGCAAAATGGCATTTGTGCAAAAAAATGCGTTATTGAAAAATACAATGAGATGAACAATTTAAAGGGCTAAAAGTTAAAAGTTCAGCAGCATTTGATGCCCGATAATGTGCAATAGGTGCAGAGTTCGGATTGTGGATCAAAGGTTCAACAGTCTGATGGCAGTGGGGAAGAAGCTGTTGCACAGCTTGGTTTCTAGATGCCTCATTAATCTTCACTAGTTTACAGCATTGGAAAATATAATGAATGTTTGTTTGACTTTCTGCACACCATTTCAAAATAATAAATGAATTTAACTGAGAACATTTTAATGTTTCAAAATGTTCATTACAGCTTAAAATAAAAAGGGAAACTCTGACGTTTGTGTTTCAGGTCCTGCAGCACGTGAGGGCCTTACAGGAGGAGTTTGATCGAGCGCGAGAGAAGCGCCTTTTAAAGGAAAAAGGTCGGTGGCTCAGAGTTCAACAGGAAGGATCTTGTTGTGGAAGCGGCTCTAAATGTTCAACATGAACTGTTCTGAAGCTTAACTGCTTCCATCACTTTTACACTCAGAGCTGGAGAAGAAGAGGGAAGCGAAGCAGAGGGAGCGGGAGGCCAGAGAGAGGGAAGCTCGTAAACGGGAGAAGGCAGAGGAGAAGGAGAGGAGGAGGAAGGAGTACAACGCTCAGATGGCAGCTCTGGCTGCCAAGGAGCAGCAGAAGAAGAAGAGTGAGGAGAAGAAGAAGAAGAACGGCCAGGCAGCAGGTGAGGGTTGGAGCTTTGATGCTGGTTTCTGCTTCTCAGGATGTTGCTCTAAGATCCGCCTCCTTTCTGTCTCCACAGATAAAAAGGTGGATGTGAAGCCAGCAGCTAAACCGCAGCGTTCTCTCATTGGCCTGATCTTTAAGCTCCTCCTTCTGCTGACGCTGGGATTGGCTGGAGCCGCCGCCGCCTGCCAGCTGACCGACCTGCAGAAGGAAGACGTCTGCGTAGCGATCAACGCTGCCGTAGACGACTGTTTAAGTTGGGCCAAAGTGCAGGAGGGCGTGGCCAGACAGCTGCTGTACAACCTGTCGTCTGCTGCCAAGGACCTTCTGGAGTCCACGCAAACATCAAAGAACTGAATGCTTCCCTCAGAGATGAGAGGTGCAGAGGTTTCCACGCCATCCCGGCATCTCTGGGAGCTTTTTTTAAAAACGTGCAGAAGTCATTTTCCTGTCTGTGTCTCTGGAAGGGAGAGATTTATTCCTATGGAATCACTGTCGCTCTGCATCCTTTCTATGGCCTGTCATCTTTTTACAGCCATCAAATATCTCCCTGGCGACGGAGTTTTGCTCTTTGAGCGGCAGGCGGCTGCACTGGAGTGTTTCAGTGGAGTGGAGGAGTCCGAGGTCCGGAGCTGCAGGTCAGATGGCGAGCAGTGCCTCCTCCATCCGGGTCACCGTTGCTGCCAAAGTTCGCAAACAGAATCCAGCTGATCAACAGTCATTTTTACTACATGACAAATAAAACGGAAAGAATTTTGCCAAAGATTCCAAAGCCGACTTTGTTCTGGTTCCTAACGAATACGATCCGCATCACTGCAGCTTAAAGGTCCGTAAATAAAAAATAAATCCAGTTTACCTGAAAAGTTCAAGAACAAAACAACTTAATCTAGAGGTTAAGGAGGAGAAACCAAGTTGGACATTTGAATAATTTAAAGTTATGAACTTAAAGAAACAAAAATGGGAAAAAGAGTAAATTTCAGTGACAGAAGTAATGAAATAAACGAGTTAAGTTCAGATCTCCACTTTAAACCCTTTTATTCTGGATTTAAAGACATTTATGGTTTTTAACACTTTTCCAGTTTTCTGCAAGATATTTCCTAAAAGCTGCTCCTCCATGTTTGGTTCTGGTTCTGATCCAGTAGGTCTGAGGGGTCTGGCTGTCGATCCCTTTCCAACCAGTCTGTAATGTATTTCAGAGCTCAGACATTCCGTAATATAAAGTCTATTATCCGAGATTTGGGGAGCCAGAGGAAGGAGTTTAGATCCGGGCTGATGTTCTCCACTCTTTTAGTCCTAGTGAGGACACAGGCAGCAGAGCCTGCATCAGCTGCAGCTGTCTCATCTACTTTCTTAGTTTCTACGAACGAAGCAGGAAGTAGTTTTTCAACATTAGTCCTTTAAACTCTTAACATCCACCTCCTTTTGGGTAATCCTCGCCTATTTTTCATAACCAAATGGAAAAGCAAATAACTTAGGAACTTTAAGCCCAAATTACATGTGTGATGCATTATTTGAAAGCTAACCCCTGCTAGTTTCCTAATATACAGGTGCTGGTCATAAAATTAGAATATCATGAAAAAGTAGATTGATTTCAGTAATTCCATTTAAAAAGTGAAACTTGTATATTATATTCATACATTACATACAAACTCATATATTTCAGATGTTTATTTTGTTTAATTTTGATGATTACAAATGACAACAAATGAAAATCTCAAATTCATCATATCAGAAAATTAGAATATTACTGAAGACCAATAAAAACAAAGGATTTATAGAAATGTTGGCCAACTGAAAAGTATGAACATGAAAAGTATGAGCATGTACAGCACTCAGTATTTAGTTGGGCCTCCTTTGGCCTGTATTACTGCAGCAATGCGGCGTGGCATGGAGTCGATCAGTCTGTGGCACTGCTCAGGTGTTATGATAGCCCAGGTTGCTCTAATAGTGGCTTTTAGCTCTTCTGAATTGTTGGGTCTGGTGTATTGCATCTTCTTCTTCACAATACCCCATAGATTTTCTATGGGGTTAAGGTCAGGAGAGTTTGCTGGCCAATTAAGAACAGGGATACCATGGTCCTTCAACCAGGTACTGGTAGCTTTGGCACTGTGTGCAGGTGCCAAGTCCTGTTGGAAAATGAAATCTGCATCTCCAAAAAGTTGGTCAGCTGCAGGAAGCATGAAGTGCTCTAAAACTTCCTGGTATGTGGCTGCGTTGACCCTGGACCTCAGAAAACACAATGGACCAACACCAGCAGATGACATGGCACCCCAAACCATCACTGACTGTGGAAACTTTACACTGGACTTCAAGCAACGTGGATGAAGTGCCTCTCTTCTTTTCCTCCAGACTCTGGGACCTTGATTTCCAAAGGAAATGCAAAATTTACTTTCATCAGAGAACATGACTTTGGACCACTCACCAGCAGTCCAGTCCTGTTTCTCTTTAGCCCAGGCAAGACGCTTCTGACGCTGTCTGTGGTTCAAGAGTGGCTTGACACAAGGAATGCGACAGCAGAAACCCATGTCTTTCATACGTCTGTGTGTGGTGGTTCTTGAAGCACTCACTCCAGCTGCAGTCCACTCTTTGTGAATCTCCCCCACATTTTTGAATGGGTTTTGTTTCACAATCCTCTCCAGGGTGCGGTTATCTCTCTTGCTTGTACACTTTTTTCGACCACATCTTTTCCTTCCCTTCGCCTCTCTATTAATGTGCTTGGACACTGAGCTCTGTGAACAGCCAGCCTCTTTAGCGATGACCTTTTGTGTCTTGCCCTCCTTGTGCAAGGTGTCGATGGTCGTCTTTTGGACAACTGTCAAGTCAGCAGTCTTCCCCATGATTGTGTAGCCTATAGAACTAGACTGAAAGACCATTTAAAGGCTTTTGCAGGTGGTTTGAGTTAATTAGCTGATTAGAGTGTGGCACCAGGGGCCATCAATTTTGAACCTTTTCACAATATTCTAATTTTCTGATATGATGAATTTGAGATTTTCATTTGTTGTCATTTGTAATCATCAAAATTAAACAAAATAAACATCTGAAATATATGAGTTTGTATGTAATGTATGAATATAATATACAAGTTTCACTTTTTAAATGGAATTACTGAAATCAATCTACTTTTTCATGATATTCTAATTTTATGACCAGCACCTGTATATATAAATTAAAATTGGGTGAGTAGAACACAGACCAACCTGCATCAGTTCAAACATGACTCAAAGTTTTTATTCTTAGAAATAATAGGTCTTTTTTGAACAGCAGTAATAAAGACATTCTTCAGAAAGGGCAGGTTTTATTTTGTTATATTTGTTCTACATCATGTCAACCACAATTGCAGAAAATTTCAGACCTCTAGCTTTAACAGTTCCAGAGCTGCGAGGTTTGAAACTTATGGTGTCGGGACCCAGAGGGTTTTAAGAGGTTAAAGGAAAGGTTCGGTCAGCGAGGAATGATCAGTGAAATGGAAGATTTCCAGAGGACTTCACCATTGAAATTCACCAGAGCTATAGTGAAACTGACAATGCCCACGTGCATGGCAGCTGGATGCTGGAATAGATCGGGTAAAAGTGGAAAATAGAGTTATTCCACCTTTCTGATTCCTGATCCTCCACGGACGGGTTGGTCGTTGGATCGCCAACTTGAAGAGGGAGGATTTGCCATCGAACTTCTGGCCAGAGAAAAAACCCGTAATATGTAGCCAACATTTGGAAGAAGAATGTTTTCAAGATGACTTGGATAATAGCGCATTGTGACAAACACCAGATACAGCACTGGGACTTGATCAACAGCCGATACCGCACCGTGACGTCACTAACCAGTAGGTGGCAGTAGTGTTCTTTGACAAACATGGATGCCTCCAGTAAAGCACATTCACATGAAAATGACTCTGAATTAAAAACACTGATCATTTATTGAACAGGATGGAATCATTTCAGATTTTAAGAACTTTCAGAAGTTTGGATTCTGAATATGAGCGACTTTTCCTTTAATCCTGGAGATGTTCTTCAGGTGATAGAAGGTCGACTTTCTTCCTGTCTCTCTGAGCCTCTGAAGGTTCAGGTCTGAGTTCATCACTAAACCCACATTTAAAGCCTGATTGCTGCTTTCTAGCTGGATGCTAAATCTGAAACAATTTTCCTTTGGTCCAAAAACGACTTCAGTTTAGTTAGATTCAGATGATTTATTTCATCCATGCATTGATTTCTTCTCTGGGTTCATGGTGACCTGGTGATGAACAGCTGTGTGTCGTCTGCATCGCTATGGCAACTGATGTTTATTAAAATGAGTTAAAGGAAGCATGTAGAGATTGAATAGAAGGTGCCCTAAGATGGATCCTTGGGGAACGCCACATGTGATTTTTTTTACAGTCTCTGGTGTACATATCTTTACAGACACACTAAAGGCTCTGTCATTCAAGTGGGATCTAAACCAGTCCAGTTCTGGAACAGGAAGTCCCGCCCAGTTTCCAGGCGCTCTAATAAAATCCAGTAATCAACAATATCAAACTGCACTGAGGTTCTTCCAAAGGCTGCAGTCATACTGATGTCACTGGATGTCAGGGAGGAAGTTACTGAGGCGTTCAGGGGCGGTTAGGTTAGAAACATTTTAGGCAAAGAACCAGAAACTTCTAGAAATCCCCATCTAAGGATGCTGGGTCACAAAGGTCAACGATTGCTGAGCCTCCACATCAGTTCAGCATCCTGAAGCTTTTTTTGTGTCTCTCCATCCTTCTGTTCGTCCAGTTTGTTTTCCTCCATCCATCGAGTTTAAAGAGCTTCCGTCCTTCCGTCAGACTCGGACTTCTGATGTCGGTCGCCTCACTGCAGCACCGGCGCTCGTCTGTTGCTGCATGTTTCTTTGTAGTCCCTCTCCTTCATATCAGCCAGCTCCCCCTGCAGGCGGATCCGAAGCGACTCGTCCACCGTCAGCTCCAGGGTCACCTCTCTGAACACGCTACACACAGACACCTGCAGACACGCAGCCACTGCTGGGTTCTCCTTCACATCTCCAAACCTCTGCTGGTGCGATCTGAGCGGCTGCTCCTTACCTCCTGGAACTGCAGCTTCCTGAACATGGAGATGCTGGCCTGGTTGTCCAGACCAATTTTTGCTTGAAACTTTCTGACTCCTAGTTTGTTGATTCCTGGTGGGGAAAAAAACAAAAAAACCCTCGACGATCTAAGAAGTGAAGTTAAGACCAAACTTCATTCTTATGTGCAGCTGCTCACCGTAGATCATCATCATGCGAGTCACCTCCTTCCCAATGCCTCTTCCTCTGTAACTCGGCTCTGTTCAAAAGAGACGTTTCAGTGAGCGAGGGATTTAAAAAATTTCTTCCAATCAGAGATTAGCCTGAGATTAGCAGAAACAAACACCTGCTATCATGACCTCCAGCTCAGCTACGGACGGATCCGTGGGGTCGGTCAGGAAGATGTTGACGTCTCCCACCATGCACTGCGCCTCCTCCACACCGGGGTCCGCCCAGCGCTCCTTATCCAACACGATGAAGGTGCACTCTGTAAAGTTTCAGCTTGAAAATTAAAGGATTGAAACATTTCTGTAATGCAGGCTGATTTGAAAGCGCCCGTGGCTGCGTACTGTCGCCATCCTCCCTCCAGCTCCTCTGCATGTCGTACTCCTGCTGCAGGCTCAGCGGCTCTGAGGCCGTCAGCTGCTGCAGCTCCGGAGACTTCATCCACTCGTGATATCTGGAGAAAAAGGAGGATGGAGCAGCAGCCCCTCAGCAGGAGATCAAGGTCTTTTTATGTTTGTTTTTTTACACTGAAATGTTCATTAAGTAAAAAAGCTGGAGTATGGAGGGTGAAAAGTGCCACATTAAACAAACTTATTAAAAACAATTTTCTCAGAATTCTGAGATTTACCGGTAAGTCAGAATTCTGACAATAAAAAAAGCCAGAATTTTTAAAATTAAAGTCAGAATTCTGACTTTTTTCCCACATTAAACTAAAATAAAATGTAAAAATCAGTGAACTTTTTTTTCCCAGTGGCCCTAATCCTCTTCCGTATAAAAGGAACGTTTCAGCCGTTGCTTTTTTATTTTTATTTTCTCATTGTGTCATCCTTTTACTCTTAGTTATCACTCAGCTTATCTGAATTAAAGTTAATTTCAAATCGACTCTTAGTTTATTTACTGTTGTTACTTTAAAAATATGATTTAAAATCCTGGTCCAGCAGCATCCTCATTCACATTTTCCTCTAAATTATCACCTTATGATAAATGTTTACATTATTTATTGGCTGCATCTAAAAATATCAAAGATATTTTCAATTTAAACAAAGATATGAAATAATACAATATAATTACAATAACTTCAATTATATCATTGTTCTAGGTCATCAAATCAATTCATTTATTCTGTCCAATAAGCTGCCTGCAGTGTCTACAAATGTCCAGCAGGTGTCAGTATTCTGCGAGACAGCATCAACGCAGAATCAATACAGTTTGACAATGATGTGTCTTAGATACTATGATAATAATACTAGATAATAAGGCATAAATATGCCTCATTAACGCGTCATTAGAAGTAATATTAAGTTATATTCATTTATTGCAGGTTGTTATCGGTTTTTATCAGTTGAACGTATCGCTTCTACGGGGAACCAAAGCGAAGCTGCCGGACTGTGAGCCGCAGCAGGACATCCATCACTGACCTGGGAACATGCTCTTCATTATATGGAACCAGTAAGACTCTGTTTCCCTCCAGTAAAGTGTTTTCATTTATCTTCATGTTGGTCTGGCTAAAGCCTCATTCCAGCTACTGGATAACTTCCGGGTTCTTACTCTACGGTTCCGTCTGCGGCTGCGCTCAGTGAGCCAGACGGGTGGAGCGCCATCTGCTGGACAGCAACAGCAAGTCCAGAGAAAAGGTTCTTAGAATTAGGTCTCTCTTTTGTTCCTTTTTTAGACATGTAAAAATACATAAACAGATATCATAAAACTAAACATGCAGGAGTTTGTGATGAAATTAGAGTTAGACTTTATTGTCATTTGTACTCACAGAGTCTATACAAAAAGAAATTTCGTTCAGTACAGCTCTCAAGACATTCCATTTTTATTTTATTTTTTAATAAAAAAAAATATATATATATAAAAAAATGATCTTTAAAAAAAGACATTTCCACTTTAAGTGCAGCTGTGATAAAATGTAAACATAAGACTGGTATATGATTTACAATTTTCAACATTTAGTATTATTGGAATTAGTATTCTTCCTGTGTTTGGTTGTTATCCTTATTCTTATAGGAACATGCTGGTGAAGATCCTCAGTCATCGAGGTCATGGTCATTCCAGAAAGTTTAAAAACAATCCATTGGACTTTGTTTCCAAGTTTGAAGACGTTTCTCTTCCCATCCAGGAATTAATGTATATATAATGTGTGTGTATATATATATATATATATATATATATATATATATATATATATATATATATATTACTGAACTATACAGTTCAGTTAAATAAATGGAGATCGATGGATTTTACTCAGTCGGCATTTTATTTACTTTGCAAAGTAAATTGAGAACAAGAAATTCATGTCGTCACACCAGCAGGATGGTCAGCCCTGTTCTGATTATACAGAGTTTTTTCTTCCTTATTTATGTCGATGAAAAAACTGCAGGTTGTATCAGAGTCAAAACAAATAAAACACAATTTAACAAACCTTGAGAAACAATTCGGCTTGTCGTGGGAATAAGTATGCCTTGTCTTCAAACACCCCTCACTGAGACATTTTCTCAGCCTTGCAGGTGAAACACATTTTTCACTGGATAAATAGCATAACTAAATGTATGAAAGCAGAGAAATCTAAATGTTCCCACCACAGCAGAGTTTCTTTTCTTTGTCCTCCGTTTGCCTTGTTGGGATTCAGATCGGCCTGCTCAGTCCGTGCCACATTTTCACCGGCTCTTGAGCCTTGTTGATCATGTCCATCCAGTGCTGCAGCTGAAGACCCCTGGCGTACATGAAGGGACCCAAAACCAGAACTCCCAGGATGGCTGGAGGCTCTGAAATCAACAGCAGTGAATGATCTCTGTCAAAGGCTTAACTTTAAGGTGGTATTTCAACATTTATGATGTAAGGTTCAGTCAATTCTCTGTTTCTGACCCTTCCACTGAGCTATCTCTAAAGTTAGCCTGCTATAGACTTAGACTGCTGGAGGACATAGGGACCCCTTTTCATCATTATTAATTCCATCTCTATTCTTCCACTCTACGTTATTCTCTCTCTGCTTTTTCTCATCATTCTTCTGGTCTGTGCTGCTTTAAGATCTAAACTGAAGCTGGTTGGATCGAAGCATTAGACGTTTTGTTGCTGTTGATCCTGTGATGAACACGTAGAAACATTCATGATCAAATCAGCATAATCAACTGATCCTCTAAGGTGATTGCTGATGGCTTTCCTTGTTGCCGTTGTGTGAAAACAACAAACTGCCCAAACTCCTGCTTTTCAGAGGCTCTCACCCTGATGGTGATCAGGTTAATAGTGGAACTACCTGTTACCAGTATTGACAATCATAACTTTCTTCATAGCTGTGACAGTGGATTATCTAATGGCCTTTTATACATAAATGCCAGAATGATATATTTTCAGTGTTTGTTTTTTCATGTTTAGAGCGTGTTTCACCTTTGCGGCTGTCGTTCGGCTGCTGCAGCTCAAATCTTAGGCAGGCATCGTCCAAGCATTGCGGTCGCAGTTTAAAGGTCATCCTGTATTTGAAGCTGGGATCCTGTTCTGCTCTCACCAGACAGCTACGCTTCGTCTTTACCGCCTGAGTGTGAATCTGCAAGCTCACCTGGACACACACGCCTGCAGAGGTAGACGGCTTGCTGTTAGCTGCTTGTGGCTAAAGCCGGGTGTACACTGTGGGATTTTTTTCAATCGTTGCACCCAGCTACAGCTCACACTGTACGATGAAACCGCAGGGTTTAAAAGTTCACAGCTCATGATGTTTGCGACCAGACGCTCTGATGCGATCTACCTGCTCACACTGCACGACTAAAAACCAGGTGGGACTCAGCTCCGCAGTGAGATGGCGCTACTCGGACTCGTCTATCTGGAAGCCTAACGAGTGAAACGCGCTGCCTTGGCTATTTGGGCAATTTTGTGCTTAAAGCCCTAAAAAGAAAAGGAGACGACGTATTTGGACGAAGACATGGCTGAGCAAACATGGCTACTAAGGTCTGTTAATTTGACAGAAAGAACTCCATTTCACTCATTGCACCCCCGCCATGCTGCTGGGTTTCATCTGAGAGGAAGAAGAAGATGAATCCTTGTTTGTGCACTAAGCTATCTGCCCACCACCTTATGACATCCGACTGCATTTCAAATATGATTGATTTTCTCCCGACCTTATGATTCCTGATGGGGAGGTAGTCGTTAGGGGCTGAACTGTACACTATGTGGCATGATCAAAAAGTTCTTGCACAGCTTTAGAATTGACCCAAAAAGGGGAAAAAATCGTGCAGTGTAAGCCCGGCGTAACGTTTTGCAGTAAAAGCCTTTTGGACGATGAAACCTGACATACCAGCATCTGTGAGGAGCTGAAGGCCCCGAGCTCTTAGAGCCACCACTGAGAGGCGCTGCAGAGACGAACTGTAGCTCAGCGACACCTGCACGTCGCCCAGCTCTGAACCCTGATGGACATCAGATGAGAGACCCCCCCCCCTGTGAGCATGTGGACCGCCTCATCGAGGGGTTGGGCGTGTGTGTGACGGCGCTCACCTGCGTCTCCTCCTCGGGATCCAGGTCCTTCCACAGCACCCTGCCGGCCTGACTCAGCTCCCCATCGAGGGGAAGGAGCACTCTACCTACAGCATGTCGTTTCCCGTCTTTCTCCACACTCAGCACACACACACTCAGGGTGCACTGGAACACACACACTGCCGAAACCTGTACGGCGCACACACACACACGAACAGACATGTCCTTCCTCAGGCTACAGAATATAAGAAAACAGATTTATGACTCACAGATCCCGTCATCATTCACTGTTATTTACATTTTTCTGAGTTCTGTATTTACGGTTATCGTAAAACGGTAAATTTCCTGTACTTATATAGGGCTTTGGTCTGTTCAGATGAGTTAACCGAAGCGTTTCCTCTACATTCAGTCATTCACTCTAATGCTACGTTCACACCGGACGCAGCAAAAGCAGCAAAATCGCGTCTGCTGCTTCCTTTTTGCTGCTTGTACCAGTTTAGTTCTGACGCGCGGCTGAAGCAGCTTTGCTGCTCTGGCTGCGCGGTGCAAAAGTGTGTCTGACGCGCGTTGGGCGGAGCTACTCTATCCTTTCTGCCTTGCAGCTATATTTGCTGTGATCAGTGGGAATAAAGTAGTTTTAATATGTTTTTAAGTAAGAAAATCCACCTGAAAACTTAATCAGTGCAGTCAGTTCATCCAGATTACCATCCTGCCTTTCAATATTATTTCTGTCGGAGCCGCTCAGACCCCCACATACCAACGGTGCGCTGTCAGTAGGAATCCCATTCAACAGCAGCCTCTGGCCGGGTCGCCTCCTCGCGGTTCACCGCGGCGGCTGGTAGGTGTTTTTTATCTAAATAATCCAAACTGCAGGCAGCAGGATAATAAAAACGAACATATTCTGCCGGCAGGTTTCTGCATTTGAAGTTAATTTAGGCGTTAATAAACTGTTTCAGAGGAGTGATCACAGCGCTCTGTGTCATCAGCGATGTGTCTGTCTCTCTGCCAGCCCCCAGATCGGCGTCTCTAAATGGTTGATGCGGCGCGTCGAGCAGCAAAAGTTCAATTTTTCCATCTTGAGCAGCAGCGCGTTTGCGGCGCGTCAGATGCTTAAACGCTCCCGACGCGCTGCCTCAGCTGCTCAAAATGCACTGCGGGACATTTTGCTGCGCCTTGACGCACGTCAACCATTGATTTTGCATGTAAACTCGCTGCTTCTGCCGCACCTGCTGCGTCCGGTGTGAACGTAGCATCACACTGATGGTGGTGAGCTACATTGTAGCCACAGCTGCTCTGGGGCTCACTGACAGAAGCCAAGCTGCTGTACGCTGGCGCCACTGGGCCCTCTGAGTAGAAAATGCAGGGGAAGTGTCTTGCCCAAGGACACAACGACACTGAAAGCCACAGATGGGGCTTGAACTGTCAACCATTCGACGCCACTGTCAGGTGTAGCAGTTTTATCAAAAAAGTTTAAAAAACAATCAACTGGACTTTGTCTCCAAGTTTGAAGACGTTTCTCTTCCATCCAGGAAGATTTTTCATTTCAAAATGTCAGAAATAGCGTTTAGTTCCAGGTTTTATAGAGAAGAACAGGTCCACGAACTGTAATACCCGAAACCTGTCTATGTCTCTGAAAGACAGGTTGACATTCTGGTTCAGAGCTGATGAAAATCCTTTGAGACGATTTAAAGATAATTTAATACAGAAATATGAGCATTAGGAAAAGTTTGTCCAATAACTCATTGATGGAGATTCTGTTGATGGTTTATAAGGCGGATTCACTTAACCATCAATAGAAACTGAAGAAACAGTTTGGATGAGATAAAAAAACAAAAAAAAAACAAAGAAGTTCTGCTTCATCACCACCTGGAAATGCTTAAGTTGCAGCTCTTCAATCATCGACCACAACTGCAGTCCACGCCCTGTGCATCTTTTAAAGGAAAAGTTCACTCATATTCAGAATCCAAACTTCTGAAAGTTCTTTAAATCTGAAATGATTCCATCCTGTTCAATAAATGATCAGTGTTTTTAATTCAGAGTAATTTTCATGTGAATGTGCTTTACTGGAGGCATCCATGTTTGTCAAAGAACACTACTGCCACCT